AAACAATTGCTCTAAAAAAAAAAAAAAAAAAAAAAAAGAGAGAGAAAAAATAATTCAAATTTATAATTACAGACTGATGTGTCTTCATTTATTTGCAGAATAATATGCATTTTTAACTGCTCCACCTCTAAAAATACTCTACTGCAATAGTTATCAAAAAGTTTTATGCGTGGAATTATTTCTTCCAACAAAATGTTATATGACAGTGGCCTTGTTGACAATTTGGACTGGATGGCTCTTTGCTGCAGGCGTTGCCCTGTGCATTGTGTAATGTCTAGCAGCATTCCTGGCCTCTACCCACTAGGTTCCACACTATCCCCTTCTCTTACCCCCTCCCATACATGACAAGCAAAAGTGTCTCCAATATTGTTAGATGGCCCTGGGGACAAAATCAGTCCTAGTTAAGAACCACTGTGATGCATAGGATGGGCGAGGAGCTGGAAAGTGTTCTTCCTTATGCTCAGAGGCAGTTCTGAGGAAACCCACAGGACACCTAAGGACACAGCTTAATGACCACAACCCTCTCTTAGCAATTCTGAAATGTACAATTCTCTGTTATTAACTACATTCACAATGCTGAGCCACAGAACACAAAAAGAAAATAAAAACTCTTATTTCTTCTGAGATTTTGTAAACTTCGATCAATATCTTTCCATTTTCCCCACCTCCATCCTCTGTAACTACCATTCTACTCTCTGCTCCTATGAGTTTGATTGTTTTATTTATTTATTAAGAACTATTTACGTAATTTCACTTATTGTTATCACTAGCGAAAGAAAGAGAAAGTAATCTGCCAGGCCCAGGACTGAAACCATGGTCGACCATGTGGAAGTCCGACGCCGTAACCTCCATGCCATCTGCTGGCCCCTGAGTTTGATTGTTGTAGATTCCTAAGTATTTGAAGTGATTGATATGTTAACTAGCTTGATTTAACTATCCCACTTTTATTTTAAGAATTATTTATTCAGTTTTATTATGTTATTTCTTAATTTGACCAGAGAAAGAGAAGGAAAGTGAGAAAACAAGCCACCAGGTACGGGACTTGAACCACGGTCAGCCATGGAAGAGTCCAGCACCCCAACTATCTTGCCACTTGTCACCCTCACTATTCCACTTTTTATTTTTCAGTACCATCACTATTTATTCCCTAAGTTTATACAATTAAAAATTGTCAGTTTATAAAAATAGACCATAAGCCTCACTTATTGATGACTCTCTGTAGTATACTAATACAAATTGAACTGTTATCTGTTTTTTTTAATTTTTTAAATGAAAGCTTGTCATTGAGTATAGCTTATTAGCTTTACTGGCATAACAACAAAAGGTATATTCTAATAAAGGAAAAATGTTATTTGATGACAATAACATGTTTGTTGATGTGCTTGATTGAGACAATATACAGTGTACTCTGCATGGAAAATCTCATTTTGTATGCTGTAATGATGTACAGTGAATGAATGCAAATAAATAAATTGAAATAAAAAAATAATAAAAAAAGGAAAAATGCATTTTAATGCTTGACAATATCTTCGTTAAAATAGGAATGAATCAATACCATGTCACTACCTTTATGAACAACAGTTTTGTTTTCCTGGTTAGTTCTATCAACAGTTGAATTAATAAGGGCCAAGTTATTGATCCTGCTATTCATTAATACCTACCAGTTGATCTTATCTATGTATTACAAACACGTCTTTCACGACAATAGAAGAAAAGCAATTGCAGTTTAGGACATGACATGGTTAAAATAGTATGTAGTTTATAATTTTAGGCCCAAAGATCTTAAAATGTCTAACACATTAAACATTTAATTGGCTTAGAATATAACTCTCCCTTGGGATCCAGCAGTTAGCATAATGGCTATGTCGCTGGACTCCCACGTAGTCGACTGCAGTTCGCGTCCTGGACCCGGTGGCTTAAAACTCACGCCGGGTGCGTATGAGTGCATGCCCAAGATCCCGAGAGGAGAATGGAGGAGAAGGGATTGCAGCATGACCATTCCCCGTGGGGGGTGATTTCTCGCTTTCTGTCTCTGTCTCTCTCTGTCTGTCTGGCGAGCGCACGTGCCCTATAGCAAAAACCTCTCAAAAAAAACAAAAAAAAAAATATAACTCTCCCTTTACCTTTACACAAAATCATGACAGATATGCTCATGTCCTTTTATTTATTTCTTTACTGGTTTTTAATATGTAAAATATGTATCTAATCCCAACTGATTAGCAGATTGTGCCACCAAGCCTAAACAGCAGACATGTGCTTAGGATCAGGACTGGAAATAATATTTAACTTTCTTCTTTTCTGTGGTCACAGCAAATCAAGCCACCAAATGCAATCATGGTTAAATCATACAAATGTTTTTTACTGGTGAAAGAATAAAGAGATTCTGTGAAAAAAGCTCTAGAGCTCATGTGTTTATATTCCTAAGTTTGTAGCATTTACAAAAAAGGAAAAAAAAAAAAAACCAACAACAAGGGGATTGTAAAACTGTTCTGGGACCAGCATACTGATGCAGTTCTCATTATTGAAAACTAACAAGATTTTCATCTTTATGGATGTGATTACTTTCAGAAAGACCAGTTGTCGGTGTGTGTGTGTGAATATTCATGAGCTGGGTCAGATCCACAGTGCCTCTGAGATACTAGAGAATTCATATTCAAAAGCATGATCCAATGAACACTAAGTGGCAAGTTATATGAAAATTTATATTCACATAGATAACCTGAACTGATACTCACTATTCATGAATATTTATATTAATATACAAAACAACACAGAAAAAGAGGGACATTGTCCTTCTCTATAGACATTCATGGCTTTTATAGTAACACTCTACTAATACATTACACAAATAATGATGCTTGTTTATGATCCAAATAGACTTTATTAATCCCCAGTGTATTCTGTCTGTTCAGTATCCTTGACTCTTTAATTCACATTATGCAACAAATGATATCTAATTGTTTTTTAATAAAGTTTTATTTGTTTTCAAGGCCACCAATATTTTCTTAGTTTTATTTGATAGCTTAAGAGCTACTGAGTATTAAGCTCTGATAGACTAATTGTGAATTACCCTTTAATACACTGGGGAAAAGACATGTCTGAATTATCATGACACTATGTCTTAAAGTTTCCATTTCATACACTGGAAAACTCTCTCTCAGATAAGCCATTGCTAAAGTAGACTTTAAAATGTTTTTCTCAAAATCTGTTTATCTACCAATGAGAAAACTACATAAAGAATTTGCAGGCTAGTGAACTGGTTTTAAATTTCACTCAGCATAAAAATAAATGGTATTGTGTACCTATAGGAGCAAAGCGTATAAACCAGACAGTACTCAGTGTGAGCATGGTGAAAGGATGCGGGTATTTCTATTTGTTGGTCTCTATTTGTACAGACTTCCAAATGCAGTTAAGTATTTCATTAGTCACAATATTTAATTAAAACTGTCAGAACCAGAAGTCAAAATTTAAAGGATCTTTATGGACATGCAAAATTAGTACAACCTCTTTTGAAGACTTTGTATCAAGCTATCAAAATACAGTCTTTAATACAGCAATTCTACTTCAAGAGATTTTTACTATGAAGTATATGAGTCTCCAGTCCTTAATCAGAGCATTTAACAGTAAAAATCACTCATTTAATTATACCATTTATATTACTGAAAACACCACAATTAGAGTAGGAGAAACTGCTGCACTAGGAAAGTTTTTTTTTCCCTCACATTACATTGAAAGCAACTAAAAAATATGTAAGAAAATAATGTAAAGCATCAACACTAACAAGCAAGTATAAATACTAATTTGTCTATTACTTTTATTATCAGAGGGTGTGTGTGATCACACACTGGAAAACTCTCTCTCTGGGGGAAGAGAGAGGGAGAGTGAAAGAGAGAGAGAAAGACAGAGAAAGAGAGAGAGAGAGAGAGAGAAGAGAGGTTGAGGGAGAAAGTACCACTCAGTAGGTCATGGTTACACTGCAATCCTTTCGCCTCCATTTCTCCATTCAATCAGCATTCTATGCATGCTTGCACATGTGCTCAGCATAGTTTTCAAGCTGCCAGGATCAGGACTTTAATTGTGGATGGCCACATGGGATCCAGCTCCTTTAACCAGTAGACTATGGGGAAATTATTTTAATTAATTACTTTTTTTTTTAATTTGCTATACTGTGTTATGTGCTCACCAGAGAAGAGAAGTCAAAGAAAAGAAAAGTGAGAAAGCACCCCTAAGGGAGAATAACCACACCACAATCCCTACTTCTCCATCCTCCTCTTAGGATTTTGGGTGCGAGCATACACACATACACACACACACACACACACACACACTCTCACACACACAAACACATATGTTTTTCAAGGTGCTGGGTCTGGGACTTGAACCATTCAGTTGGCCATGTGATTAAGCAGCTTTTACCAACATGCCATCTGCTGGCCTCTGGAAACTATTTTAGATCCTTGATTATTTGGCTACATCCTTCTAATCCACATTATGAAGTATATTTTTTTAAAGAATTATTTTATGTAACTTTATTTATTTACTTTAATTTGACCAGAGAGGGGCAGAGAGAGAAAGTGAGAAAGCAAGCCACCATGTCCAGGACTTGAACTGTGGTCAGCCATATGGGAACCCAGCGCCCTTAACCACCACACTACTTGCCAGCCCTATGAAGTATATTTGATTAATACACATATTATTTTGGCACCATGAAAGAAACAGACTTCTCTTAAATCTTATAAAATTACATAGCTCACCCAGAATTATAAAGTTGCCCAACATTTCTCCATGTTTATGCTATTAACTATACTCAGGATAAACAATGTTGAAATTTAATTGGGTAATCTGCAGATGACGGAATAATAAAATTATGGAAAATACCAACCATGCTAAAATAGCTTTGCCTCATGTCCTAGATCTTAT